CAAGCTCTCCAAACAGGTGCCGCCGACGTGTCGGCCACCACGTTCATGACTAAGTGGAATTGCTCTGGATGACTGCTAATAGGAGTCCATCTTCGGGAATGACGCCACATTCGCTGTGGATTGTTCGCTCCTGCTACACATGCCCTTGCGAGCCAGTGATTCATGCAGGCCTGCACTGCGCAAAGTGGAAGAGGCAACTTGCGCGACGCGATGAGTCCCTGTAACACCTGTGTGATGTGGAGATCTACAGTTGGAAGTGCCCAGGAGGCTTTCCTTCATTGAGCTGACTTTTTAGTCCTTTTAGTGAGAACTTGCTGTATTGTGTATAGCGAAGGAGTAAGCTCCTTGTACTGTCTGTTGGATGTTGATTGGTGTCATGTATGGCTATTCGTAGACTTGACCCCCCTGTGGTTTTAGCGCGCGCGATGCGCCGGCGAACAGTCGCGGTCACGTAGTTGTTCATTAGCTGAATCGACCGGCTGTGCTCGAATGAGTAGTAGTAGTAGCAGTAGTAGTAGTAGTAGTACTGGTGTCAGTGGTAGTAGTAGTAATGGAATTGGACAAGGGTAGTACTAGCAACAGAAATGGATGTTTATGTAGACATGGACATGTTCGTGGTTCTTCACGACTTTGACCTTATGGCGGCATGCATCGCCTCCGCGTACTTTCTTGTGAAAAGTGCGCCTCATCTTTTCTTGCCCGAAAAGTTGAAACGTGCAATTTTTTGCACAGTGCAACTTTTCAACCTCTTGCCCCAAAAAGGTACAAAAGCGTGTGTGTGTTGTTTTAAACTGCCGGAAAAGTCAAAAAGTGCAATTTCTTGCGCAAAGTGTCACTTTTTGATTTTTTGTACCGAGAGTCGAAAAGTGAACTTCGTGGGAAAACAGCCGAAAAGTTGAAAAGTGCAATTTTTTTTTAAAGTAATTCATTTTGCTTTTTTGCCCGAAAAGTTGAAAAGGAAAGTGCATTTTTTTGCGAAAGCTCAAACTATTTTTTTCTGCATGAAAAGTCGGAAACTGCCCGAAAAGGCGAAATGTGCAACTTTTTTTTCGAGAAGTGAAACTTTTTAACTCGACTGTTTGAGGGAAATTTCGGGATTCTCCGGCTGCGCTAATAAGCTACGGCGGGTGGCGAGCTTTGTAGGATTTGTGCCGTGCATACATAAGATATTAACACCTTGCTTTCTGTTCCACGCTGGCAGTACTCCTGACTCACCTTGACAGTGAGAACAGATCCTTTTCCGACCTCAGATGGCAAGGAGCACGAACTCACCATGGTCAACCAGCAGCCCTTCATTCCGGACCAAGAGTACAAGGCAACTCTTTCAAACATGATGGTCATGAGTTCTGCTTTGTGGTTGCTAGGTCCCTGCTAGGTGTGTTTTCCCAGAGCTCTACTGAGCGGAATGAACAACATCCAGCCACTCATTGACTTTGGAAAGGAGAAAGGCATTCCTGACGAGGCAACGGTGTTGGCTGGACGTTAGCTCACTGGAAGATGAATGCTGCCTGTCGAGCGAGCATTTCGCACACGCATTTTGAGCGTGCTTGAGGAAAGCAGTGTTCTCGCAAAGCCGGTCATCTTAGAGGCCCGCAGTTTTCAAACAATTGCCGGTCAGAGCAACAAGCCAAAGGAAACTAAGAGCATCCTGCCCTCCGCTGTTTGGAAAGTTGAAGATCACAAGATTTTTCTCTGGGGTTTTCGGAATGACAACCTGGCGCCCTCAGCTTGTACTTTGGAGAAGCTTTGCCGAGCCAACAGGGCTCAGTGCCGAGGTTTGCATGAAGGACTTGTGGAGGCAGCTTTTGGGACATTCTGCATGGGGCATGACGCACGTCGGCAGGCAGCTATCAGTCAATAGTGTTCAATAGTGCTTGCCGGCATACTCATACATTGATGGTGCCTGTGCACTTGTGGCGCTCAGCTTTGCTGCCTGCTTCCACCAAGGAGCCAGGACGCTCCAGTGGACTCGCTTGACCTGAAGCATGGCCTCATCAAAGCCTTCAGCAATCTAGATACAGATCAAAGTGGCTCCTTCTACCACTTCAGCTGGGCTTTTGTTGTCCTGTTCTCACCCAGCAGGTTGCAGTGGTGTCACCTGCTAAGGTGGCATGGCGGATTCAACCGAAGTGGCATCATTCCTGCAGGCGCGTATGCCGCAACAAGCTTCTGGATCTTTGGCACATGAATTGCTACGCTGGCAGCATTTGAAGGCACTTAAGTTGTATTTTGCCTCACTGTTAGGTGCCTCTTTTGCAGCTAAGGCTCAAAGCCGTTGACAAGGACGGCAACGGCAAGGCAGGCAGCTCAAATAGCTCTGGTTCTGGCGGCTTGGATATTGTTTGCGGAGCCAGGTGCAGATTGAGGAACTTGCAAATTTTCTACACTGAAGGCCCCTGTTTTGCTCTGCAGTTTACTTTTACGTTGCAAATGTGCGCCTGTTGTGGCAGGTTGCGCAGCTCAAGCAGGTCATAAGAAGACCAAGCATATGCAACGAATTCTCGGATCATACAAAGGTGTAAAGAAGGAAGGAACCGAGCCTTCTGAAGCTCAAATGAGCTTCGCTGCGAAAGCAGTAGGTGCGGTTCAGGCTCCCGTGCTTTGCTGACGTAGTGTTGGCCAGTCGCGATGGACTTGACGCTTTTGAATATTTTTAACCGTTTTGCATGGCAGAGGGTGCTGGCCGAATGGCCGACGCACTGCCTGCCGTGAGGAGCCGGCAAAAGCCAGGTCGTCCCCGAATCCAGATGGAGTGCAAGCTTTTCTTGCATGATAAGCTCCAATAAAGGCAGCTGTCCTGCTCAGACAAAGCAGCCTGGTAATCTACACTGCCACATGAGCTTCAATCTTCAACGGTTCGGCATTGGAAGGAATTGGATGCCTGCAGATCTGAGGCCGATAAGTGCAAGACGATGTGCGATGCCGACAGAAGGCGACGTCTGGGCTTGGGGGAAGAGTAACATCTATGGCAGATGCTTGGTATCGCAAGGTGGCTGACACGCATCAACGTTCGATCCACATACTTGCGTTGACCTTTCCAGCACTTGGTCGATAAATTGAATATGAGTTTAACCCGCCCATTAAGACATGACTTGACTTAATCCTGGATTGGTTTTTAGCTCTCGCAGTTGAAAGTTCATTGTGCTTGCTATAGGGAGAGTAATTAACGCAAATTATTCATGCATCTTTTGTACGGCAGCTCTTCGGGGTAATGTTGCCAGTCTGTGATTTTCTCTGCGCGGTGGGCATTTCTTCAGGGTTACTTGAGAGTGCTTCTTTTGATTCTCAGGGCTTAGGCTTTCGAGCCTTTCCAGATTTGGTATCCTTGGGGGTAGAGAGTAAGACTGAGCAAGAAAGGCCACCACATGGAGCAGAGTCGTTCCATTCCAGCATATTGTGCTCGGTTGTGGATGGGTGTTTCGCTAAGAGACTGGCTCCAAGGACACGCCCAAAAGCAGGGTCACTGTAGAAGCGTGTTCTTGCAGCTTAAAGGAAATTGCCGAAGGCCCAAAGCAGCACTGTGGCTGCTTGCTGCCATGACAAAGGTTGGGGTCTCCAAGGCTTTGAGGCATTCATTATTTGCAGTGCTTACCTGGCTGGGAAGCAGCACGGTGCTGCTACAACAGCTTGGGAAGCGGCTCGACATGGAAGCCAAGAGACTTGACAAGATTGACCTTCGAAAAGATGAAGCCTTGAGAAGCTGGACAGACGCAGTGGAAGTTTCGCGGTGCTCGATGTTGCTGCGGTCGCAGCTGCGAGGTGGACCAATTGTAGACATGGGTGGTGCGTCCATGATCACTGGTTGGATGCTTCGCGAGGGTAACATCATCATATCTTTGGGAAGAAGTGAGCCTTTGTCAAGAAGCCGTCTTGTTGGCCGGCCAGGTTTCATCGAGCTTGACAGCACTGTTTCTTTGGAGCTTTTGTTAAGAGAGCTTGATCAGCTGCAGGCCAAACCTATTCTTTTTTTGCAGGCAGCCTTGCTCCTGGGACAGCAGGGGGTAGCTCGAAGAGCTGACGTTGAGAGCCTTTCTTCTCTCCGCAGCCACTTTCCACATTTAGCCGTTCTTGGTTCCTTGCTGACGGACAATGGTCAGGAAATTCCGCATTGGATCCTTCCTTCGTTTATTGCACCTCTTCTAGGGTACTCCAACAACATGATGGTCGAACTTCCTTGCTGGGCAGCAGGCGGGTGCAAGCACAGAGCACGTCCCCTGCTTGCCTTGGTTATGATCGTCAAGAATGAAGCCAGGCGGATCAAAGAGACTTTGCAATCGACTTTGGGAGCTGTGGACTCAGCTGTGATTTTGGATACAGGGTCAACAGACTCCACAATAGACATTTTGAGCAAAGCAGCCGAAGCAGCAGCATTGCCCGTGGAAATCCACAAGGAGGCTTTCGTGGACTTTGCCACAACTCGCAATCGGGTGCTTCGTTTGGCAGGAAACAGGACTGAGTTTGTCCTCATGCTGAGCGGCGATGAGACGCTGATTAACCCTTCGGAGCTTCGCACTTTTCTGAGCCAACATTCTGGTTATTGCGGAGGCTCTGAGGATGTTTTTAACCTCCGTGTCTTTATGGGGCCAAAGGTATGGTACTGGTCTGAACGGCTTCTGCGAGCAGACAACCATGCCAAGCCTGAATGGCCTTCTGGCAACTCCACGTGGCGCTACGTGGGGGTGACGCATGAGGCATACGTGAATCCAACGCGAACTTTGAGCAATGATCTTTTCATTAATTACGTGGGTGACACAGACAAGTCTGTGGTTCCACCACTTCGCAGTGCGGTCGCTGGCAGCTTCTGGGTTGAGCACAATGCTCAGAAAACAGCCGAAGAGTCACAGATGCGATTGCGTCAGGACGTCGAGCTGCTGGAAGGATATCTGAACCGCGATGACGCGCATTCTGACCGTTGGCAATACACACGAGCCATGTTTTATTTGGCCCAGTCGCACCACTCTCTCAGCAATTTTGATGTCGCCAAAGAGCTTTGGGAGCGATACTTAGCATCAGATCTTGCGCTTTGGCGTCAGTTTTCCTACCTTCGGTATGGCGCGCACCTTGGACTGGGTCAGCTGTGCGCCCAGGCCAAGCATTTGTTTGGAAGTGAAGCGGCCAACTGTGGCCATCACTTCCTTGAAGCGCACCGTTTGTGTCCACGAGCTGAACCGCTGATGTACTTTGCCTTAATGCTGCCGGAAGGGAGCCAAGAGCGGATGGATCTCCTGCAGAAGGCAGAAGGTGTCATGCACCTAGAGGCATCCACTGGCCATTGTGCTGTATATGCTGAGCCTGCACTGTACCAGCAGATTCGCCCCATGATCTCTAACGAAAGGGCGGGAGGACAAAAAATCACATTATGGCGCTGTGGCCCCATACCTTTTCTTGCAGCGTCCACGTTCTGATTACAGGTGTGATTGCTTCCTGTCGGCGCCTTAGGCTTGGATGCACCCTCCTAAATTTCATGAGATTCGCTTGCAAGATGCTGACGGCGTCGAGTGAAGCTTGCACCCAATAATGCATTTGGCAGCTCGCACATTCATGGCGAGCTTGGCAATCATTTGCCAGAACATTGCAGGCGTAGGCATGATACATAGGCCTCCATGACAGCATGTCCGCTGTTGCTACTGCTGCTGCAACCGCATGTCCAGATAATGTACGCAGAGCCTGGAATCAGGTATACATCCGTGACGCAGCACTGCGAAAAACGCAACCGTCTAAGATTTGCTTTACTTAGTTCTTTGGCCTTTTGGTGTCTGTTCTGTCCACTGTTACTGTTCGGGTGGGATGCTCTGTAGTGATTCCGAGGTAGGGCGTGCGCCCCGGACGCGCAAAGCCTGAAGGACCACCATGCCAATGCGTGTCCGGTTGGGTAAGGATTCAGATGTAATGCTGATTTGAAGCGGGTGCCACGTTGTCAAGCAACCCCAGGATAACGTGGGCACCAACCTTTACGTGAAATTGCCCAACGAAGAGATTCAGGAGGATCACGCAGATGAGAGAGAGAGAGACAGAGAGAGAGTGTAGAAGAAGAAGAAGAAGAAGAGAGAGAGTGTAGCTGTTTCTTTTGTGCTGTTGGTTGCGGTTGCTACGCCCCACAACACTTGAGTCACCCTGACACTTCCAAACAGAAACAGTCAACGCAACCGGCATGCTCCCTGCTGTAAGTCCTGGCTGCTGCTCATCCAGATGTCCTAGCTTTTGAATGTTTCCCATTACAGTTACTTGCTTCCACACTTACCCTGAACAAACCCGCCAAAAAGGGGGCCACAACTATAAGCTATGCACAAAGTGCGTGGCACATGGGAGGAAGGCTGGGCGTGTGAAGCAGGGATGGCGGATCGATGCTCGACCTTATCCACTTATCTTTTGAGTTGGGTTTGGGGCCTGATATGGGAGAGCTTAGATGCACCCTGTACTGCTGTCAATGAGCCCTTGCACAGTGCCTCGAGAACAATTTGAGGAGAGTAGGTTTGCAAGCTTTAGGCTAGAGGTGGCGCAGCAACTGTTCTCAATCGGGCGATGGGCCGTTGTGGTGTGAGAGTTTCACAGCCAGTTGAAGGATACGGAATGCAAAGGATGGGGAGATCTCTAACTTTGATAGTGTTTGCATTCCCGAACCCTTGCTGGTACCGAGCTGAACGCTGGACATGTGAGGGCTCGGTGGGTCCCCCCGACCGGCCCGCAAGGGGTCGGTGCAGCCCGCAGAAGAAGAAGAGGGCCTGTTTCAAGGGCTATGGAACTGTAAGTAGACTAGGTTTGCTGAAGTGCTTGCCAGCTGATGTGCTTGCAGAATTCTGAGGAGGACGACGATGACGTGTGGAAGCGGTATCGGCACAAGAACCTCTTCTTCTCGCAGACCCGACACGTCCATTGAAGTTGTGATTGGATGACGTTGTTGCACACTTCTGTGCCGCGCGCGCAATCCTTATGCTTTGTACACTTTGCTACATTGCGCTGCTTGTGATGGCATGCCATGCTTCGCTGCTTGGGCATTTGTTGCCCATGTGGAGGTCGAGTCCAGGAGGGTACTCATGTCACGGTTCGAAAAGCATGGAGCTATGCATTTTATCACTGGGGAGTCGATGTTGGTTGTCTCACAGAACATTGTTTTTTGTTTGAGCGGAGGGATTGGGCATGCTTGTTGTCTTTTTTCGCAAAAACAAAGCGCAGCCTGGGGGAGGGGTGCGCAAGTGACTTGTCAATACATGCTGAAGAAGAGGATCTCTTCTTGCATCTGCTCATTAATTGGGTTGAGCTCTTACCTGCACGTACTACGCTCGCTCATAATAGGGCGATTATCGTGTGACCCGCGCACCCCCCATGGCCCAGCTCCGCCCCCGTCCCAGCGACATGCCAAAAGCATGATCCCTTTAGGGCCTTTACGGTTTCAGATTTTAGGGCTGTTAGGCTCTGTTTTTTTCGATAGAGGGGTTTTAGAGTATTTGAGGGCCATGCAAGTCTATGGTTCGAATGAAGTCAGCTGTCGCTGTAGCTTCTTTCGGTTCATGTGGGCAACAACTGCTCCTGATATCCTCCGTGAACCTAGATTATCCTAGATTCTGGAGTAGCAGTCAGCCCCTTGTCCATCTGTGCCATTCCTTGTACTGTGTGCTTTGGGCATTTTCTGCTGTGGATTCTGCACCGGCTGTGTAATCCGTGGTCTTCTGCTATCAAGCCACCTTCGACGGGGACTTGCATATCTGCTTCGGTTGTTGGTTCTCATCTTTGAGGGCAGGACTGTTGTGAGGCAGGCAGCGACCACTGGCAGCAGCATTGCAAGGAATCGCTTGAGGCAACACCGTGAATAAGCGAGGGCTCTGATCTGGAGGAGTTTGTCATGCGGTTGCAGGGTCTTACTATTTGTATCTCACGAGACCGGGGTGCCTCCTCTGTTCACCTGGACAGGCTCCCTCTGAAGTGCGTGGCTCTGCGGGTCCCAGCTAAGGTCCTGGCGGGTACTCAGGCAGTGGTTGTGGCATCTTCTGAGCTGGCCCAGCGCAACAGGCTATACATTTGCTTGCGGTGCCGGCGTTATCCAGAGGGCTTCTCTGCTGAGACTTACCAGGTGTATCGAGCAAACATCTCCGAGGGCGACCGCCCCGAACGGCAATCAGTGAGCCACGCCTTTGCTCCAAGGAGCGAAGCGGAGGCGAATCTCCGCGCGGCCGGCCGACAATGGCCGCCTGCGCTTTGAGGCCGGAAGATGTGCAAGGCATGGTGGTGGATGCTCCGGAGGGTCGGCCCATGGGTTTCTCGTACTGGTTGGAGCCCGCAGACGCGCCAAGCTGGCTCTGCGCAGCATTCGTAGCACGAGCGCGACATGGTGGCTTCATGGTTGTCTGAAGCGCTGGTTGCTTCAGGAGTGCTGGAGAAGCGGAAGCAATTCTGTACAGGGAGATAGAGATCGAAGGCGAGACACCAAGGCAACGACCTGGAGCTATCTGGAGTCAGAAATTCCGACGTGCAACTTGCAGCCGGGCCGGTCCCGAACTTATTCTAATCACCGGCTTTGCAGGAGCTGTTGTTCGACCAGTGAAGGCGGTTGTTTTGGCTGCAATCGATCTTTGGGTCGCCGACGAGCTTGGAGACCCGACGCTGGCCGAATATGTTGCGGAGTCGCGCGTGGAAGGCTCGGAGGGCCAACCCTGGGAAGGCGGGCAGGCGTACGCCGAAGAGGAGGTCGCCGCGAATGGCGCAGAGACAATGGCGCAGCAGCGTGCCAGGATCGGGGAACTGGAGGGCATCAGCCGGAGACCCCTCAGATGCATCGTCCTGGTGTTGAGTGTGGAGGGCAGGCAGGACAGACGACGTCCAGCTTGCCGAGATGGAAGCGGCAGCTCTGCCCGAGGATCTGGATCCGGAGTCGTCGTCGGTGCTGCACCGCCTCCTGGCCATCCAGACAAAGCTGCTCGAACGCATTGCCGTGCCCAGGACCCTGTAATTGCGCTGACGGGTTCAAGCGACCGAGGGGTCCATTGGGTCGGCAGCCGCGGAGGGGATGACTGCAAGAGGCTTTCGTGAAGCTTGTCCATACTCAGCGTGCAGCTTTCACAACTTCGGTTGGCAACACTGCAGCTTCGGAACTTGGCGAGGACAGCACGGAGCCAACCCCAGCTTTGATGAGGAAATACGTGGAGCGCCGGATGGTGGTGGGAGAACACCGCCCAGCAGACCTCACTAGCTTGTGGAGAGTGGAGAAAAATTACGGCTTTTTCTGCGCTGAGGAGTATGCTTTGGTTTGATCCCCATTTTTCATCCGACCCTAATTCTGTAGATGATATTTTGGAGTTCTTGGAAAACCAAGCCCAAGACTTAGAAAGCCAGTCCAAAACAGGTGCCTTAGCATGGAGACACCGCATGCGTGACAGCTTCCGAGCAGGCGGCAAAGTGGCCTACGCATGGTTGAAGGACACTTGCGCCCTTCATTGCGTGCAATGTCCGATGAGCAGAAATGCAGGACCTACCACAAAACTTGCTTCAGGTGGTTCTGCAGCGGTTCAATGATAGGAAAAAAGGTGACCCATGGCCCAAAAATAACACTACTGCAGTAATGTCTTGTATTCCCAAAACTGACCAAAAGCTACCTGAAACAGAGGCCCCCGCCAAGGTCGTAGCCCCGCGCCCACTGCAAACTAGACCGATCTCTACTTTAGAACCTTGGACTACGGTTTATAGTGGCATACGCTATCGCCAGTTGCAAACATGGCGTGACAAATGGCTCCCATGTTCTATGCGCGGAGCACGACCAAATCACGAGGTAAGTAATGTCACATACCTGCAGCTTCAGAGTGCAGGCGCAGACGATATCATTGGCATTGCATTCGACAGACGAAAATTTTTTTGACTTGTTGAGTCACGAATGTTGCCATTCGTTGCTAGCTGCGCTGGGCATGCCTACCAAAATTCTAATGGCCGAGCGTAGTTGTTATTTGCAATTCCGTAATTGCTTTAAAATCAACAGAGCAATATCTCGCATGGCTCACCGTGGCAACGGATTTGTCCAGGGATGCTCGCATAGCCTGTTTGCTGCCCAAGCCATACTAAGCGTGTGGACACGTGGCATCGAAGCTCTTTCAGGTCAATCCTGTCGCTTACGCGCAGGAGGTTTCCTTGACGACAGCAACTTTCGCGTGCAAGGGGGCTAATCTTGAAAATGCAAATAAACTCTCTTTAGAGGCCTGGGATGTTAATATACATTTTGACAAAGTCACAGGTCTGCAAACCAGTTTTGATAAAATTGTTGCTTTCACCAATCAACCTAAAGGTGCCCAACTAATCCAGGGAACAAACACTCTGCAGAGGCGCCGATAAGCTTCTTTACAAGGACTCCTTTGTGCTGGTAGGTGCCCCTGTTACAGTTAAGGGCCGCGCAGACACAAAACGGCGCAGTGAACGTGTTGCAGCTGCTGCAGCTCGAATTAAGAGACTGAGGTATTGCCCGCTTTCGTTTGGCGCCAGCGTTCAATTAGCTGCAAACGGTGGTATGACATGTGCACTTTGGATGTGAGCTCCAAAGTTTTACACAGGCACAAGTGATACTGTTGCGCCGTGCTGTTGCAACATCAGTGTGGCGCGGCTTCACGTGGAACAGAAGCCCCGCTGCTTTCACTCTCTTATTGCCTGGACGTCGTTTAGACGCAAAGCGAGCCAGTATCTACCGTGCTCTTGTATCATCAAGACGCAGTCTGAAACGCAGGATTGATTTGCAAAGTGTTTTCGAAGACGCGTGGCACCGTGCGGTGCAATTGCGTAGCGAAGTATGTGGCCCAGTTGTAGTTCTTGCGGATGAGGTGAGCCAATTAAAACGGACGTGGCATTCCCCTTGAATTTGCACGTGGTGTGATTCTCCATGCAGATTCTTTTCCGCTCAACTGTGACCCTATTTTTTTCAGCACAGCGTGAAAACTGTCCAGAAAAGGGTGGTCAAGACTCTCTGGACGAGCTATTGATTGATGGATTTTTAGTCGTTGCTACCGACGGTGCCTGCTCTAATCAGCAGCATCCTCTTTACTTCAGAAAAGCCAGTTTTGGGGTTTATTACGGTAAAAATCATTGTAAGAATCTTTCATTTCCACCCACTAGCAACCCACAGAGTGCACAGCGAGCAGAGCTGTTGGCAATCCTGCGCTGGATTGAGCATGCCGAAACACGCGCGCACGCTTGGACAGACAGTCACTGGTTGGCCAAGGCGCTGCAAAATATATTAGACGGGATTGTGTTCCAACCTAGTGACCATGAAGATTTGCGGAACACCATCCTTTTAGCACTCCAGCAAAAGGGCCTTTCCCAATTTCAAGAGTCTAAGGTCAAAGCACATGTGAAGCAAACAGACTGCAAAGCCCAACTAGAAAAACGCCAAAACTGCCGAAATTATGCAGCGGATCTGCTGGCCACAGCAGGTGCTGCAAAGCATGCTTTGCCCGCCAACGTAGTTGAGCAATCAAAGCAGCAGATCCAATTTGCAGCGTGTCTTCCACGTGCGCAGATTCACATATTGATGCTGCGTGAGACGGCCAAGAAAAATATGGCCAAAAACAACTTGATTCCCGTGTGGAGCCAACAGCAGTTGAGTCTCCATCGCCTTGTCATGCTGCTCCCAGCCTGGTTGAGAGCAACCCTTTGCTTGCCGAAAGGGATGCTATGTTCCCGTCATATCCCTGGAACTACAATGTGCAGGATTCGTCAAATGTCATCGATTTCTTTAAGGGTGATGTACCTGATAACTGGAGACGGTTTTCAGCCTCCTCCGAATGGATCTACCCGCTAGATCTCTTTCCCAGTCTGGTCTGGTGTCTCACAAATCTTAAGTGGCCCAGCTATGCGTCTGATGATACGATCAGTTTTATTGAGCT